TTAAGCTTCCATGCTTGAGATTGTGGCATTAACTGTCACAGGATTACTGATATGTAGTCATTTTTTTTCACCCAAAACTAGATCTTCTTTCATGCTCTTTATCCTGAGTGTTGCAGATGCTTGATTTCATTTTTGTATAATACCACCCATTTTCCACTAAAGACCGGTCCACCTTTCAACAAATCTAAGACGTTCACTTTATCACTTGAAAAATTAAGCTCAAGCCAAGTGTTGGTGGCTTATACTTGCAGTCCTAGCTATTTGGGAGGTTGAGATCTGTGGATCAAGGTTTGAAGCCAGCCTGGGCAGGAAAATCCATGAGACTCTTATCTTTTAACAACCAAAAAGTCAGAAGCGGAGCTGTGGCTCAAGTGGTAGACGCTAGCCTTAAGCATAAAAGTTCATGGATAGCACCCAGAGCCTGATCAAGCCCCGGGACCAGCGTGCACACACGTATGCACATGCACACAGGTGCGAGCACGCACGTGGACACACACCCACACATACATACATATAAAACACTCAGCACATCACATGCTCCTTTTCACTTGGAAAGAATTATCATAACTATTACCTTGCTTTTTAGACAGAGGCAGATTTTCATATAATCAAGGGTAGGGAAACAGATCACACAGGATTTCAGCACAACTAATGACAAACTCAGGCCTGAGGGCTGTTCTTATCAGCTGGCTGTGAAATATGTGCTGCTGTGGGAAGTTAATTTTTTTGTGTTTGGGATTTCTTCTCATTTATTTCAGTTTGGTTTTTTACCCTGCTTAGTCAAAACTGCATGAAGTAAACCTATGAATTTAAGAGGCGCTTACTGTGTCTATGGTTTCCCCACTGTACATTCTTGGAATTCTCTTCTTTTATGTTCTGTCATCACAGTGTCAATATGTGCCATTCCATTTTTATTAGTTTCCTTAATCGTGTTGGCAGTGTTTTTGTACCACGTAGGGAACCCTTTTTAGCAAAAGGATCAGAAATTTCTGCAGATGGAGAGTAATGAGAAGAGATTAGATTTACCAAAGATTAAAATATAAATCTTTAGTAGTTAAAAGTATGTGGCATTGGCACAAGACTAGACTGACAGATCAGTGTGACAACCAGAAGGGGAGCTCAGTATATATAGAAATTTAACACATTATCAAAGAAGCATTTAAATCAGCAAAGGAAAGGAAGATTATCCCAAAAATGATGTTGAAGCCACTGAGTAAAAACATCTGAAAGAAATTAGGTTGGATCTTTTGCTTCATACCCAAATAAATTCCAGATGAAGCATAAATGTAAATGTAAAGTTATGATCTATAAAAATACTAGAAAAAGTATGTTTTTATAATTTTCAAATGAGAGTGGCTTCTTTAATTATTGTGCAGAGACCAGATCCCTTCTTGAAAACTGATGGTTTTGACCACGTATCAGATTTCCACAAGGAGTAAAAGTACAACGTTCTAGGAAAATAACAGAAACATTTACAAGCCAGGAGCTAATTTCCTTAATAGATAAAGAGTTTTTTAGTAAGGCCAGCAGTAACAAAACAGACTAGTTTTATTGTAAAGCAAACGTATATTCCTCTACATGCATAGAACATTTTACATAAATTAAAACCGATGAAATGCCATTTTCAGGTGGGCAGAGATGGAAAGTTTTGATAGTGTGAAGTAAGCATGTGGAGGAAATTAGAGTGTAGATACCTAACATTATTGATGGAAATCTAAAATGGCACAACTTCTGGGGAAAATGTTTGGTACTGTAAAAATTAAAACACTTCACCCAGTGATTACAGTTCAAAGACTTTATCCTAACCCATTCTACAAATGATGGAACAGCAAGATTGCTGTTCTAGCTAACACTCTGTCATTTTAAACATCAGCATCTGCCTTCTACGTGGTCCAAGTCTTGCCAATTTTTTATTTTTCTAACTTACTGAATTTTAACCATTTGAGTAAGAGCTACATTAGTAACTTTTAAGATTTTAAGGTACATTTCTCATAACTAATGGTGTTAAACATCTTTTTCTTGTGCTTATTAGACAGAGATCTTGGGTAAAGTGTTTAAGTGATTTGTTTAAAATTTTTACTTAAAACAAAAGTGAAATTTTTAAAATTAAAATTTTGAAATTAAAACTTTAAAAATTTTAAACAAATCACTTTACTGAGCAGTTAAAATTTTACATATGTTCTAGATCTAAGTCTGCTGTCTAATATATGGCTTGTGAGTAAATTTCCCAATTTTTGGCTTGCCTACTTAATAATCGTAGTATAGTATAATAGTATAGTATGAAGCCCAAGGTACCAGATTTTCTTCTGTTGAAAAAAATAATTTTGTATGTGCTTAAAAAAAATCTGTATACTGCAGACCAAGAAAATTCTTTTTCCTACAAGTTTTTTTTAACCTTTATTTTAGCTTTTCTTAATATCAGATTTCTTAATAAAAGAGTTAGAGCTACTGCCTTACACTGCTTTCTCGTTTTTTCAGATTTAGTAATATGTTGACATTATCATGTCATGCTTTCTCTTCTCTGAATTAATGTAGAGATGAACTACTTTAGATTAAAAAAAAAAAAGTAGTCCTGGAATTCATTGCTTTCAATAAGATAAGTAGCAGTAGAATACCTGACTTGATTCGCAGTTGTTTATTACGAATTCATTTGCACATAATTCAATTGCATAATGTTGGAATGTGATGTAAAACCACCCTAAGCCAGTAAGATGATCATGGGTACAGTGAGCACACGCTGAGCTGGAGACTGGAGTGCTAGGTTCTGTCCTGTCTCCTGCTTCTACTGGAATGAAGGGCAACAGTAGCCTTTCCTTCCATCTGACATGATGTCCAAAATATACTAGGCCCTCAGAATCTGGTCCTACCGTACCTTTTCATTGCTGCAGTGACCTGCTCTTTCCTCTCCTTCAGTTACCTGCTGCTTGGCTGAACTCTTGTCTTTGCTTGTGCTGTTCCTTTAACCAGACTGCTTGCATTCCTTTCCATCCTGCCTATATAGTCTTTTAAGCTTCCAGTAAAATTCCACATCCTTCTTGAACCTTCTTAGTAGCCTCTTAAGAGTGAATGTGTCTTTGCACTTTGTTTATATATAGCCGGCCTGCCATTCACTTTATACCTTTGTGATGCACAGTAGGCTTCTTCTGTCTTTCCCTCCCTCCCTCCCTCCCTTCTCTCCCCCTTCCCTGTTTGTTAGTATATATAATAGGTTTCACTATTTTCATACGTGTATATGATGTACCCTTATGACCTTTTCTTGTTCTCTTCTCTTCTCTCCTTCTGCTCTGCTCCTTGGCTTTTCCCAAATAGTGTTACTTGCCTTTCCTATGAGGAGCAGTGTACTAGTAAGGAGCCCTTAAGTTAGCAGTATTCTTTGAGGTGGGTTTACACTAGATAGTGGTCCTCAAACTGGTATGATCCATTTGCTGCTTTGTGAAAACAGTTTTGGCAGTCCAAGGGCATCATACAGTAGTAAGTTAACATGGGTAAACATACTATGTTTACTGCTTTCACTTAACTTGTATCATTCTGTTTGTTATCTGTATGTTACCCATAAGTGAATGACTTTTTTTTCTTTATCATGTATTATATAACTTAATTTACATTTGGGGTGTGCAATTAAGTTTAAAAATATAAACTATTTTCATGAAATAGAATTTTTGAAGAAAGCTTAGAGGATCTTAAATGTTTACTTTGAACTTTTATTGTCTTTTTATTTTAATTGTATATTTCCTAGTTTAGATTGCTTATAGAATTATGTTGCTGGGCTGGGAAAGTGGCTCAGTGGTAGAGCGCTTGCCTTGCATGCCTGAGGCCCTGGGTTTGATTCCTCAGCACCACATAAGCAAAAAGAAAAAACAAAGCCGGAAGTGGCACTGTGGCTCAAGTGGTAGAGCGCTAGCCTTGAGCTGAAGAGCTGAGGGGCAGCACCCAGGCCGAGTTCAAACCCCACGACCAGACCAAAAAAAAAGAATTATGTTGCTAAGACAGCATTTTTTGTACATTTTTTATTGTAAAAATACTGTATAGAGGGGTTACAGTTACATGAGCAAGGTAATGAGTACATTTCCTTTTGAGCATTGTTGCCTCCTCCTTTGTTTCCCCCCATCATCCCTTCCCTCCCACCTCCACAACTTATCTCCCCCCACAAGACAGCATTTTTAACACATTAGAATAGAATAATTATTAACAGTACCAGTTAAATATTTATGAAATTCATTTTGTAAAGTAAGTTCACTTTATACAGTTTTCTGTTGTGTTCAATCTGTTATTCATTAGATTTTAAAACTTGATTAGTGGTGTTCTTTAATTTTATTTTTATTTATTTTTTTTGCTGGTCCTGGGGCTTGAACTCAGGACCTGGGTGCTGTCTCTGAGCTGCTTTTGCTCAGGGCTAGTGCTCTACCATTTGAGCCACAGCACCACTTCCATAAAAACTTAATTTTGAAGCTAGGTAGTTTTAACAATCATTTCAGCAAGAATTATTTAAATATTTCTTATAAAAGAGTGTAGAAGCCAGGTACAGGTGGCTCATGCCTATAATCCTAGCTACTCAAGAACCTGAGATCTGAGGACCGTGGTTCAAAGCCAGCCTGGGCAGGAAAGGCCATGAAACTCTTTAACTCCAATAAGCCACCAGAAAACGAAGTGGCACTGTGGCTCAAGTGGAAGAGCACTAGCCTTGAGCTGAAGAGCTCAGGGACAGCACTCAGGCCCAGAGTTCAGGCCCTATGACCAACAACAACAATAACAACAATAGTGTAGAACTAAAAGCTTCCAAATTAACCAATGCCTAAATGTCAATGCACCACTTTTAGAGAGCCCTTCTTGAGATGGGGGACGGGGGTTGGCCAATGGTATGGTATAGTATAGTGTATTTATGGTCAAATAGTTTCTGGTTGACTAATTTGTGATTCAGCCTTTTCTGGTGTGCCTGGAGCCTCGGAAGTCAGGAGTTGCTATATTAATAATGCCTGTGCCTTTTTTCTTATACTCCATAGGGTCAGTATAGACCTTCGGACTTGCTGTGTCCTGAGACCTATGTGTGGGTACCCATCGAGCAGTGCCTGTCTTCACTTGAAAACTCCAAGTATTGTCGTTTCAATCAGGACCCAGAAGCAGGTATGTTTGGAGCATAGCTCATGAGGAAATTGTTACCTTTGTTTTCACAATCCATATGTGTGTCTGTGTCTCTTTGTAGGGGCTGTGGAGCTTTTTATATATTGTAGAGTGGGAATGAGTACATTTGCACACGTGTGTGTATAAGATGGGCATGTCCTGATAGATTGGCTTTTATGTGCTTTGCAGGCTGTGATACCAATATCCAGTTCTTTTAGTTACCCCAGTACTTAAAATCTGTTCACTAGATTGATTATGTGCAAATGTAGGGAAAAATAGAAATATTGACCAATTTCTGCATAAAGTTACAAGATGGTGTCATGGAAGCAAACAGGCTGTGAAGGTTTTGCAACAATTCTTCATTAGATTTCTGATTTGTGTCCCTGTTCCCTCTCCCATTTCCTGCCTAGTGGATCCCCAGCCATATTTTGTTTCCTATTACTCTCCATTAGGCATTAGTACAAACACTAAAAGAATATCCTTAGAATCAAACTTCCCTGGTATACCAATGGGTATACTGTGTGCTCTTAAGCAATAGCTTCACATTCCTCGCTTTTAACCATTAAAATAGTCAGACCTAAATGACCAAAGTATGTTGTGTGCATACATGGAACGTCATTGTGAAATACAAGTTTCATAGAATTCATGTGCGTTAATAAAAACAGTAACAGAGCCTGTCTTATTGAGATGTAGTAAAGATTACAGTAAGATAGGCATGCTAAGATCCTCCTAGTTTAGAAGATTGATTACGTAGCTGCCACAGGCTTTAGTATGTGCCTGCTTTTCTATCTTCTATATGTGTATTCTGTTTACTTCCCTGTAGTCTAGTGCTCTGGGAATTAGTCTGTGCTGTGTGAAGTTGCCATGAGTTTGTATGCTTTTGGTATGGGTTCCTTGTATTATATTAACAGGTGTAGCTTCCCCAGACTAAGGTTCTTTGACATTCCAAACTGTGCTGAGCTTTGAGTTGGCCTGAACTACCATAGAGGAAATGTGTGAGCATACACATTTTTGCTAATCACCTGTGATCCCCAAGCAAAGCAGGAGCTGGCTGCAGTGGCCCACCCTGTTGTGATCCTAGCTCTTGGGAGGCTGAGATGGGGAAGATCACAATTTGAGGCTAGCCTGGGCAAAAAGTTAGCAAGGCCTCCTGTCAGCCAAAAGAATATGGGCAGTGGTGTGGTCTGTTCATCGTAGCCATGCAGGAATTGTAAGTAGAATCATGTCCAGGCTAGCCCAGGCCAGAATCAAGACCCTACTTGAAAAATAATGAAAGCACAAAAGGCTTTGGGCAGGACCCAAGTGTTAGGGCACCTTCCTGACCTGAATGAGGTCCTTAGTTCTAACCCCAATACAGTACTACAGAAAAAAAATAAAATAAAGGAGAGGAATGAGAAGACCTCATAAAAAATAGTAAATGGAGAGAATACAATGAAAAGACAAAAGAGCAAGGAGAGTAATATAAGGATTTCCTTAGTCCTAAGGTGTATATTTTTTCTCATAATTTGATTTTCATGTAAAAATTGGTTTATGTAATGTATTTTGTTATCTTCTTAAAAAGCTGTTATGAAAACAAGGGTGGTACTACCGTGGCAGCTTCAAAGAACCTGGTACTGAGTGGCCCTCAGACCAGCTGGGTCACACCAGGCTCCCAGGGTTGGACCCAGGGTTCCCAGACATTTAGGCTTTGTAGAGTAGACAGAGCTTTATCTTTACCACACCTTAAGTTATTAATCAGAATGTGATTGTTTCATTTTCATTCCTAGTTACACTTCATTGATCAGACAGATACATTGCTTTAAAAATTCATTAAAGTAATCTATCAGCTCTGAATTCAGGCCCATAGCCAAAGCAAAATGTTGTGGAAATATATCTACTCCTCCCTCTCTCAGCTTTTCTCCAGGTCAGCTTGAAGCCTGTTCCTTATACAGAAAACTGCTAAAAAGCCTTGTTGAATTATTTCATATTCATATATCAAAGATTATAAGTTCCTTCCAGCTAAGCAGTAATTCTAATCTTGAATTTGTTTCATCTCTTCTTTCTGCTTAATTTGTTTTAAAGGTTGCTACTTTTTCTTACATACTTAATGATTAAAGAAATGCTAAGTTCTTGTTACTTTATAATATTGAGATGATGACTGGATAATTTCTTTTTTTTATTGTGAAAATACTGTACAGAGGAGTTACAATTACATGGGCAAGATAATGAGTACATTTCTTTTCAAGTATTGTAGCCTTCTCCTTTGTTTCCCCTTTCCATCCCTTCCCATCCTCCCCCGACTGGATAATTTCTGTGCACTGACTGGGTATCAAGTACATAGTCAGCTTATATATTTTAAAATTATTTTCTAAAATAAGTACTAATAAGCAATTTTATGGCACAGAAGAGTTTTAAGTCTGATATTGATATAATATGTTTTTGTTTATCAAGAATGTACTATTGCTGGGCACCAGTGGCTCACACCTGTTAATCCTAGATACTCAGGAGGCTGAGATCTGAGGATCACAGTTTGAAACCAGCCTAGGGCAGGGAAGTCGGAGAGACTCTTATATCCAGTTAATCACAGAAAAAGCTGGAAGTGGAGCTATGGTTCAAGTGGTAGAACGCTAGCCTTGAGTTAAAGGAGCTCAGGAACAGTGCTCAAGCCTAGAGTTCAAGCCCCAGGACTGGACAAAAAAAAAAAAAAGTGAGTGATGGGCAAATAGCATGTTCTCCCTATAACTTACTAGCTTCTGCTTCTCTTGCAGTAGCTCATTGTATTGCTCACTGTTTATAGAGTTCCTTTACAGAACTCAAAGCAAATTTAAGACGAGCTCCTCAAAGAACATAAAGATCCCTTCCCATATGTGGAGTCTTTGGGACTTTGAAGCAAATAACACACAGTTTTTATCAACTCTAGATACTATTTGGAATCAGACTGTGTCCTGTGGTTTTTGGAAATTAAAATGCAGTTCTGTATTGGAGAGTATTGAGCCTGCTGTGGAACACGGTCATGGGAGATTTAAGTAGCAGTCTGTGAGAAACTCTCTGCTTCTCGAGGGCCAGTTTAGCTTTTGTATGATTATCCACACTCTGACTCTCACGTGGCTGTCAGGTGAGTCAGCGTGGTGCTGTGCTCACTGAGGCTCATTTCTCCTCGCAGCTGTCCATGATCAGTTATTCTGTGTGAGTGAGCGGATCACCATAGCCCTCTGTGAAAGTGTTGCAGTGTACGTAGTCTTGTCCAGAGGCTTCTGTGTTGATGATAGAATTTTACCTTGATGACTCGGTTTATGCCTAGCTTGCATACTTATCTTAGCACTGAAGGGCATAATTGTATTCTTATTATAGTGCCCCTTGCCCCTTTTCATTGTTAAAATGTTTTGGTTCATGGTAGGCATGAAATGAAAAAGAACATCAAAAGCATGAGGTCATTTGGTGGGTTGTCAGAAAAGTTACTTTCTATCCTAAATTGCTCTGTGTTGCTTGAAATCCCTCTCCCAGCACCTTGTAGATCCTTGGCCCTGCTCCTGTACCTGTCTTCCTTTCCTTGGAGATTGGGGGATCTGTGATTAATTGTTCTACTAATAAGTCTGTGTAAAAATGAACCCTAAGATATGTATTCAAATGTCTTTTTTTTCTTTCATGCGATTGTTTCTAACACATTTATAAGATTATTTCTTTGTTGCTTTGTATGTCCCTCCCCCACAGTATAACCCCTGCTTTTGATGTCGGTATAATTTGTGGAGGGGAAGGGGAAAAACAAATCGTTTAAATAGGGATACAGGTGGACCCATTGCAACAATGAGATGTACAAGTTGTTATGTCGATAACGTACTTTACAACTTTGGGGCGGGGGGGGGCGCAGGAAGGATTGGGTGGGGGGAGGATGGGAAGGGGAAACAAAGGAGGAGGCTACAATGCTTGATAAGAAATGTACTCATTATCTTGCCCATGTAATTATAACCCCTCTGTACAGTATTTTCACACAAAAAAATAATAAAAAACCTTTACTTACTACTTTGTGCCAAATGGAAGTAACTTGGAAAATTCTTAAAAAATCACCTTGCTCATTGATAAATCTTTTGTTTTTTAATTTAGGGCTTCTACCTAGTCCAGAGTTAGGAGTTAGGTTTTGCTTCTGTCACTTCTGCTTATGTGGTGCTGAGAAATCGAACCCAGGGTCTTATTCATGCAAGGCAAGCACTCTGCCACTGAGCCACCTTCCCAGCCGTCTCAAACAATTGTCTGTTAGATTGTTTTTTACATTGACAGCTAGAAATATATGTGTTCCAAAAGTTCTGCATCACAAACACATCTTACTTTCTTTGCTTTAGTTGTTTTTTTAAAAAAATAACTCTAGTCAAAAATTTGCCCAAATGTGAAAAGGATGTAGCTCCATGGTAGAGTGCTTGCTTAGAATGCACAAGGGACCAGGTTCAGTTTTTAAAATGTGCCCGAATCCAAATGTTCAAAATGTAAAAATGATTTGTCATCCTGCAGTATAGCATTAGTCATCGTTAGTGGTTATGCTCTCCTTTGACCTTTTCCTATGAATATGTCTGTACATTTATTTATTATTTTCATCGTGGGCTTGAACTCTGGGCTGGGCTATCCCTGAACTCTTCAGCTCACTCTACCACTTGAGCCACAGCACCCCTTCCGGTTTTTCTGCTAGTTAATTGGAGATGAGACTTTCCTGACCAGGCTGGCTTTGGACTGCAGTCCTCAGGAGATCTCAGCCTCCTGAGTAGCTAGGATTACAGTCGTGAGCCACTGGTGCCCTGCTTCGGTACATAAGCAAAGTGAGTCACGCTGTATGGGGACTGAGGCCTGAACTGTAGCAGGGTCTTGGGTGCTCAGTCTCACTCAGCTTCCTTGCTCATTGCTGGAACTCTGCTGCTTGAGCCATGCTTCTAATTTGGCCTTTGCTAGTTAATTAGAGATGGAATCTTACAGAATTTTCCGTTCAGGCTATCTTCTCACTGCCATCCTCTGAGTAGTTAGGATTACAGGTGTGAGCCACTAGCGCCTGGCATGCTATAGAATTTTTTTTATTATAAGTACAAAATTTTTAGAGTCACTTTCAAAAGGATGTATTAGAATATTTTTTGTTTCTACCTTCAGTTACAATAGCGGCATATGCATTTTAGCTCAGATTAATATAGATTTTATATTCCTTTGTGCACACTTGATTGCAAGAAACTTCCAAATTTGTCTCTAAAACAAGCCATACACTATTAATAAAACTTTCAAATTTAAGTTGACTATGAAAATAACAATACCCAATTTGGGCTTGGTGCTTTATACATTCTCCTTTGCAGACTTTTTAGGACATCATAACTCTTCCCACCAGTTGCTGAAAACATAACTAATGAAAGCAGCTTTTCCTTCGTTTGATCCCCAAAAGCGCTAAGGCTCTGATTTGTGTCATTTTATGTTGTATCACAGGGGGCTTCTCTTTTCTCTGTATCTATTCTTTTTCCCCCCTTACTGGCCTGGTTCCCTGGCAGTTTTTCTATGCTTCTGCAGTTTGTCTAACATACATTCTACTCTGATCCTGATGCTGCAGTCTGAGCCTTGGTGTGCGAACTCTGAGCTCTGACTTCACATTTAGGTCCAACTTTTCCAAGTGAATAATTCTGTCTCTTCTAACAAGTAGGTTGTTACATGTGACAATTGGTTAAGAAAGAATGTAATCAAATCGCTCCATAGAACTTTATAATGATAGTAGTGCTATTTGAACTTTTTCATTGGAATTTTTCTCACCTGTCATCTGTATGAGCCTTATAAAACCAAAGCAAATTTTTGCTCATATAGAAGCTTTGATCTTCATTTTAAATTAAGGCCATGTAATTCCTCAAACCTTTGAATTAAACCAAAACTTTTTTTTTCAGGTTAATGACATTGCTTAATTTTTTTACCTTGACCTGTATATACTTTGAAGTTAAGAATATTAGGAATGTGGGGGTCTTACATACTGTGACAGACTGACTAAATGTGAATTGGTTTATTTGAACCAATTTGTTAAATTTATATGATACTTGTCATTTAAAATATGTGTTTTTTACCAGGCACTTTTGGTTCATGCCTGTAATCCTAGCTGAGCTCTGAGAACTGAAGTTCAAAGCCAGCCAGGGCAGGAAAATCCATGAGGTTCCTGTCTCCAGTTAGATACCAAAAAAGCCAGAAGTGGAGCTGTGGCTCAATTGGTAGAATGCTAGCATTGAGCAAAAATGCTTAAGAACAGAGCCCCGGAGCTGAGTTTAAGTATATGTTTTTTATAGCTACTTGGAGTCCACATTGAACTGTATTTTTAATATGTTAGTGAATATACGCTTCCAGCTTCTTAATAAATATCTTTTAAAAAGTCTTTGGAATGTTAAATCCATTATTGTGAATCTTTTGATAAAATAAAGGGCCTTTGCTTTTGTAACTCTTTATTTTTTGTTTTTATTTTTTGTCGGTCGTGGGGCTTGAGCTCTGGGCCTGGGCGCTGTCCCTGTGCTCTCCAGCTCAAGGCGAGCACACTACTTCTTGTGCCACAGCGCCACTTCCAGTTTTCTGGTGGTTAATTGGAGATAAGAGTCTCATAGACTTTCCTGCCCCCGCTGACTTTTAACTGCGATCCTAGATCTCAGCCTCCTGAGGAGCTAGGAGTACAGGTGTGAGCCACCCACCGTTCCTGGCTAGATTTATTCCTTATGTGACAGAAGTGGCCTAAATCAGTGCTGTGATGAGGGGCCACTGTGTAGAGGCACAGGCACATGTGACCTCCTCTGATGGGGCACAGCCACAAACCCAGACTCATCAAAAATACATACAGCCATGATAACGACGATTTGCCTTGTGAAGGTTAAAATGTATATGTGACTTTAAGTATCACTATTCCACAGTTTATGCAATTTATGACATCGACTGTTTCGTAGAATGAGAACTTCTTTGTAAAACTACTTAAAGATAATAAAAAAAATTAAAAATACATACAAAGTGACCTTCAGACTTGTGTGTATCAGCTATCTGTGAGGCCAGAATGGATTTTGTGTTTTGGTTTGGGTTCCATCCCTAAAATATTCCCAAATTTACTGTCTGAAACCCTTTTGGAAGGTTGTCCAAACCTTTTTCTTTCTCCCTGGTTTGGAGACAGGGTCTCACTAATAAGTCCGTGCTGATTCTGAGTTCTCAGTCACCTGCCTCAATCTCCCAAGCCTGGGATTTCAATCATAGCTGGCTGGTGCCAAGCATTTTTGGATCAGGAACACTCAGCCAGTCCTAGGCATTTAGCTTAAAAAGCAATTGTTGTTCCATGCTTTTGCTTTTGTGGTAATAGTTGTTCAATGTTTCGTTTTGTGGATATAATGTAACTTAATTCTACAGCCACAGGCCACAGGCCCTGCCATGAGCATCTGTAAGTACACAGGATGCTTTTCAATGTCATAAAGATGTTGAAGAAAACACTGGTGCTTGGCGTCAATTCAGACTAGTTTTTAAATCAGAACTTCTGGGTAGCAGTTCTGGAGATATTTTGGTATTTTAAAAATCCTCAGTTGACCCCAATATGGAGGCTGGCACGAGGGCCATGCTGTGACTAAATGATGGTTCTTAAAAGTGAATTTGCTTTACCTGACAGTACCTTATGCTCTACATTAAGACCAACTCCACATAATAGAAACCTGGAAGAATGGCTTACAGTATGTTGTATGTGAGTCTGTACACAGAGGCAGCCAGGGTTGACATGGCAGCAGCACTGTCACATGAAGCCTGCTGTTACCCAACTCCTCTCTTCTGTTTTTATTGAACCAAGGTTCAGTCTTATTCTTTACCTGCAAAAGCGCACCTTCAAACACTAGTGCACCTGCCATTACACCAATGTTCTAGGCTAGTCCCTGGAAACTCACAAAATGCTTGTATCTCATTGGCCAGAACTTGTTTGTGAGGCCACATCTGGCTGCAAGGAGGACTGGCATTCTTCTGGGTAGATCTGCCTGATATAAACTAGGGTTATTTTCTTTTTAATGAAAGAAGAGAAAGTCCTATAGCAGCAGCCACCAGCACCCGGGCCACAGTGTCCGTGGAAACTGTGAGATCCTTCCATCTGCCTCTCCCAGAATCAGGCCCAGCTCCTCATACCCACCGAGTCAGCTGAAGCGCCAGACAGGATGCTAACAGAAGCAAGGCAGAGTATTTTTACAGTTGGACCCTTGAAAGATGATGGAGCTGTGTAAACTTTGTTGTGACTCTACTTCAAGTTCACCTCTCACACTGCAGGATGTTTATTACCTTCCAGTGAGGTACTTCCTATTTGTTATTATTAACATGCCAGTGAATGTGCTGGGCACACATATCTGCTAACTAAGAAATACAAGGTATTTGTCACATGGCTTGCTGATCCTCAGTTTTTTGTTATTGCAGTGGATGAAGGTCGAAGCAAGGAACCTGACCGGTTGAAGGTATTTTACAAGAAAGCCATCATGCCTTATGGTGTTTACAAGAAGCACCAGAAAGATCCGAGCGAGGATGCCACGGTACAGCAGTACGCAAGCTTGGTGGGGCAGGCGTGCTCCGAGAGGATGCTGCTGTTTAGGAACTGACGTGCTTTGTGCCCTCTGCTTGTCGCCTCGGCTCCACCCTCCCTGCCATGTACTGTTCACGTCCGCGTCCAGGAGACGCTGCAGCCCCCACCGCGCAGATGGCTTCACGTCGACTGTCCTCCAGCCTTTTTGAAACATTTGTGACAGTGCATTTGTGAGAATCCCATGGTTAATACAAGGTATTTTTTAAATGTGTGATGACCATAGCCCCATAGTGGAGGTCTGTCATTTCAGAAGTTTGTTTCTGGCACAAGATATGCTAAACCTCTCTAATTACTATTTTAGGAAGTAAAATTAAGAATTGAATCCAAGTAATCATCACAGTTATGTTGGTTTTGACTGTCAGAGGAACTCAGACTATTTCCTCGGATACACTGAGTTACTCTTACTTACCAGGACGAAGGCAGGAAGTGCATCTTGTAGACAGCCAGGCTGTGCGCTCACTCAGCATCACTATTTGTGGTAGACCTTGATGTACAGACACTGACAAGAGCTCAGGTTCACACTGAGTATCTGTCTGTCCAGGACAGTCTGATTCCTGTCTGATTTGGGCATCATTTTCCTTCAAGAGTGAATCGTTACTAGTGTTTCCTTGTGTTCTCAAAGTCACCTAGTTTGGACAATAAATTCTGTAACCACCCTAATGACACACTTGTTCTGTCTCTAAAAGTCTAAGCAACAGAAGTTTGAAAGGAAAACACTTTTTGCCTTGATTTAAACCTACCAGAAGGAAGTATATCTGTCCCCATTCCTGGGGCTCTGGACACTTGTAGTTTAGTGAAATCTGGTTAGCGTCCGGCTGCTCTCGGGGCTGGGTGCCAGCCACATTCAAGTCAGTAGGGGTCATTTTGAGCTCTGTCCCTTTTCTGGTCCCCTGGTTGTGAGTTAGGGAATGGATGTTGCCCTTGGGACCTGAAGCAGAGACTAGTCTCTTTTTCCCCCTCACTTGTTTTGTTGAGCACAGGGCCGGGTGCAAGGAGAGCATTAGGCATGGCGAGGTCGGAAGTGAGAGCAGGGAAGCTTTCTCTGCCCTTTCTCAGCAGGTTTCTCTTCGGTTGCCAGTGGCTCTACTATCCAGCCCTCTTTAGACCCTTTTGCCCATTTTTCTGCTTTCTACAGTTCTTTTTTAGAGCCATATAAAACTTCATAGTTTAAATCTCATTACTGATTGTAAACTTTTCTCCAAAATGCACTAAATTTTGATAAACATTAATAGTAACATTTATCAGTTTAGAATTAAAAAGGGAATACCATTTCCTCCGATTACAAACATCCTGTACTCTCAAGGATGCTGGAGGTTTGTAAATCACTCAGGAGAACAATCTCCGAAGGAGCAGGCTTAAATGACTAACTCGAAACTGCCTTCAAAATTGAGAGAACGTTTCCCACATTCAGAAACTAGTCTCTTTTTCCCCTCTAAAGTGAAGATGGCTTCATTTTATGACTTTCATAGATACTCACTGTGAGCAACTAAAATACTAAGGAAAGTAAGAAAGCCAAAGTAATCTGAAATCCTGTCCAGAGAGGGAAAAGAACTGTTGCTATGTACACACACACACATACACACACACACACACACACACACACACACACACACACACAC